CCCGGCAGTCCTTTTCATGGGAGCGCCCACAGCACATCTACGTGGGCCCCAGGGCGTTACCGAGACTTTTAATTCACACACGTTTCCCCCAGATCTGTTAGTCAAAGGCGGTTACCATGTCAGTCACAAGCTGTGCCCAGATCTTCTAGGCCTGTCATCAAGGCCCTGGGCTGGGTTGGCAAACCAGGCTCCTCTGTCCCCCCAGGTACCATCTCTCTCGAGAGGGGCAGAACGCGATGCCTCTCCCCTGCCTGGTGATGAGAGGTGGGATAGCCTCGTGACTATGGTGCAGGAGCTCGTTCTAATCGCAGCTCCACCACCTGCTAGCTTGTGTGACTTTGATCGAGTGACCGGATTCACCTCTTCATCTGTAACGTGGGGTTGACCATCGTGCCCACCTCAGAAGGCTCTCGGGAGGACTGAGTGATTCACTGTGGGTTCCGCACAGTGCTGGCGGCCAGTGGGTGTTGGCAATCGTTATCTGGTCCCCAGTGGATCTCCCCAGGCCCCCAGACTGGCTTCAGAGGCCCAGTGGAAGCAGCTTTGAGTACCAGTGCCCCGCTCAGCAGCCCTGCTATTCCTGTCCGAGAGAGTGGCCAGGCAGCCCGGCAGCCCCTTCCTTCCTCCTGCAGCATCTTTCTTTGGGAACATCCAGCTCTGGAGATCTGTTAGATGCCCCCTCCCCTCTCACGAGCTGCCCATGCCTGGCTCAGCAATCCCAGTGAGGCTTACCCAGAGGGGTCTGTTTCCCGGGGCTTCCTTGGCCACCTCTTCTATCTCTTGTTTTCCTGGACACCCCTTGGACAGCGACAGCCGGAGGAGGGGTGTTGAGGAGCTGTGCTGGTGTAGGCCACCTCTGCATCCAGTCCACAAATGCTCGCTGTGCACCTCCTAGGTGCCAGACACAGCTCTGACTGTGGGGCTTCAGCAGTGGATAAAACAAAGATGCCTGCTTTGGTGGGACCTGCAGTCTGGGAGAGGAGACAAGAAATAATGAGCAAGTCAGATGGGGGTAGACGCAGTGGAGAAAATGAAGCCGTGGAGGGCAGGGGAAGGCTCAGGGAGGGGAAGGAATGCAATTTTATGTAGAGTGGTCGAGGAAGAAGATGTCATTGAGGAGTGACATTTGAGCAAAGCCACAAAGGACCTGAGGGAGTGAGCCCCGTGGGCAGCTGGGGGAACAGGTTCCAGGGAGTAGGAGAGAAGCTGGTAGGTTCTGGGGACGGGACGCTGGAGGCTGGGGCAGCTGGAGCAGCCAGAGAGGGGGAGGAGGAGGGATGAGGTCAAGGCCCTGATAGTGACCTTGTCACTCTGAGAGACATGGGAGCCTTGGAGGGCTGTGAGCACAGTTGTCACGTGGCCCGCCTTGTGTTTTACAAGGACTACTCTGACTGCTAAAGGGGACAAGAATGCAATCAGAGGGACCAGGTAACTGGCTACTGCAATAATCCAGGGGAAAGATGACAGGGTCTTGGGCCAGGCTGGATTCTGGGTTTGTTTTGAAAGTACAGCCAACACGACTTACTGACAGAGTGGAGGTGGAGTGTGAGAGAGACAGGAGTAAAAACCTAACTCCTCAATTTTCGGCCTGAGCGACTAAGGATGGAGCTGCCTGTACTCAAAGCGAGGCCTGCTGGAGGAGGAAGACCAGGAGCTACGTTTGGGGTATGTTGAGAATCTGGAATGCTTCTTGACCACACAAATGTGGGTGTAAAGTAGGCAGCTGGAAATACAAGACTAGAGTTCAGGGGCCAGGTGCGGATTGGAGACACCTGTGGGTTTTCGGCCCATACTTGGTCATTTGTATTGATTATCTATTGCTATGTAACAAATGACTCCAAAACCTAGCAGCTTAAAGCCATAAACATTTATCATCTCATGCAGTTCCATAGGTTAGGAATTTGGAAGTGGCTTGGTTGGGTGGTCCTGGCTCAGGGGGTCCCATGGGGTTGCAGTCAAGATGTGAGCTGGGGCTGCAGTCTTCAGAAGGCGTGGCTGGTGCTGGAGGACCCATTCCCCAGGTGGCTCACTCACAGGGCTGGCAAGTTAGTGCTGACTGTTGACCGGGGGACTCAGCTCCTCACCATGTGGCCTGTCCATAGGGTTGCCTGAATGTCCTCACAACATGGCGTCAGTAAGGTCATGTGACTCTGCAGGCACATCCAGGGGCAGGGGTGCAGGTGCAGAGCAGGCAGAGAGTGAGTCAGATGTAACCAGGATGGGGTGTTCCCAGTGAATGTGACCAAAGCAGAGAGGACGGGGGGTTGCGAGGGCTTCAAAGGCCTCAAACTGGGCAAGGAGGGAGAAGAGCACATCTGGGAGGTGGAGAGTGGGAAGGAGCTGGCACCAATGTGTCCTGGGGTCCAAGGGGTCCTGGAGGGACTGAAGAGCCCTTAGAGTCACAGCCATCAAGTGAGTAAGTGGGAAGATAAAAGGGTGGTCATACGCTTTAGCTACTTTAAGTGATTTCCATCAACACCCACAATCCAGAATGTTCTGGGAAGGGCCGCACCACCCGCCCAGCCAAGAAGGGGAAAGGAAAATTGACCAAGTTGATGTAGGGTGCCTACAGCAGTGTAGACACCAACAGACTCCAACAACCTGAGCTGATTTCTTGGGTGTCATGCACACACTGCCACGCACACTCAGACGTAAACCACACTGACAGCAGAGTCACCCACTCAGAAGTCACACACTTGTTCAGGTGTCCTTTCTGCGACTTCACATGTTCAAGGGGTTAAATCCTTCCAGGAGTGGGTAAGGCAGGACCATGGGGCTGCTGCCTCGGTGTCATCCCCATGTCTGTGCCTTAGCTTTTCAGCTGACTTTGGTGTCCTGCTGCCCAACTGGTGGTGCCCGTCCTCCCGTGGCCTCATAAGGAAGGTGCGCGGTCCCTGCACTGATGGGGCTCTGATAAAATCCAAGGTCACATTCCGCGCGCTGATAATCACCTGGCCAAGAGTGGCAGCTTCCTGGTGCAGCTCCCTGCAGTCACTGATCAGACAATACTGTCCCGACCAGCGCACAAGGCGAGATGAGTGCAGGGCAGGTGGTGTTGGCAAAATGGGGGTGTGAGCAGGAAGGGCTGCTCTGAGAGGGGGGCTGTGAAATCACACACGTGCACACACGGTCCACCGTGGCCCAGCCCCCTCTGTACTCTGTACCGAGTACTTGGGGTCTCACTTTCCCTCTCGGCCTCCAGACATGCTGGGCCATCTGCATGACGGCCCGCCCTCACCTTCGATGCGTGCTGAGCACCTTCTCGTCCTCGGAGGATCCCCTCAAATGTCCCCTCCTAAGCAGAACTCCTCATTCTCCCCTCTAGGAGCACGGTGGTCCTACCTCTTTAGGGCACTTACCGCAAGGCTGAACCCAAAGCCTGTCTCCCCTGCTGGACTTTGCATCCCCAGGGCCTAGCTGGACCCAGCACAGAGCTGAATGAATGAACAGTGCTTGCATGGATAGGCAAGGGGTGGATAAATGAGTGGAAGATGGGTGGATGGATAAACACGAGGGCGGATGGATGGATTCCAGATAGGGCCAGGGCTGGAAGCGGAAGTCACCTTGCCAAGGAAGTATGGGCTTCCTCTGCTGTGTCCTCTGGACACCTCCCTTCCCAAGAGTCCCACCTCCTCCCATAAACTGGGTCCCCTTCAGGATAGACACAGAGAATTCTTCCGGGTCCCCCTTCTTGCTTTAGCTCCAGGCCTTGTGTTTTAGAGTGAAGAGTCACTAAAATTTACCCAGCTCCCACTATTGCCACGTGCTAGGCTAGACGTTTCTATAGATGCCATCTTTTTTTTTTTTTTTTTTGAGACAGAGTCTCGCTCTGTTGCCTGGACATGTTGCTATGGCATCATCCTAGCTCACAGCAACCTCTAACTCCTGGGCTCAAGCGATCCTCCTGCCTCAGCCTCCCGAGTAGCTGGAACTACAGGCATGCACCACCATGCTTGGGTAATTTTTTTTGTTTCTATTTTTAGTTGCTTGGCTAATTTTTTCTATTTTTAGTAGAGTCAGGGTCTTGCTCTTGCTCAGGCTGTTCTCCAACTCCAGACCTCAAACGATCCTCCTGCCTCGGTCTCCCACAGTGCCAGGAGATGCCATTTTTTTTTTTTTTTTTTTTTGAGACAGAGTCTCACTCTGTTGCCCTGACTAGAGTGAGTGCCGTGGCGTTAGCTTAGCTCACAGCAACCTCAAACTCCTGGGCTCAAGAGATCCTCCTGCCTCAGCCTTCCGAGTAGCTGGGACTACAGGCATGTGCCACCATGCCCAGCTAATTTTTTCTATATATTTTTAGTTGTCCAATTAATTTCTTTCTAATTTTAGTAGAGAGGGGTCTCGCTCTTGCTCAGGCTGGTTTCGAACTCCTGAGCTCAAACAATCCGCCCGCCTCGGCCTCCCAGAGAGCTAGGATTACAGGTGTGAGCCACTGCGCCCGGCCTTGATGCCATTTTGTTTAATGAAAACACCACCACTGCTTTGTGAAGTAGGTTTTATTATCTCCATTGTTGAAGCTTGAAGAAAAGAGGCTTAGAGAAGCTAAGTGAATTTCCTAAGGTCACGCAACTTATGTCCAGCAAGGATGGGATTTGAACTCAAATTCTGCTCAGGCGGGCAGGGCGGGATGTGTTGGATCCACTGGTGGGAGGGAGAGAGGCAGTGCTGGTGGGCGGTGGGCACAGCCCTGCTCTAGATGCAGGGGCTCTGAGTTCCAGTCCTGGCCTGGCCTCCGTTTTACTGGGAGACACTGGGTGAGACCCTTCGTTCTCGGGCTTGAGTCTCCCTGGGGGGACTTGCCACCCTTGGAGGCCCCTTCCAGGTGAATGATGCAGAATGTGGTGGGTGAGAGCAGCTCCTGGCTCTTACCACGAGATGTTCCCTCACTCTCCCTGCCAGCTGGGGGCCAAAGGGCAAGTGCCACCCATGGGGTAATGGTTAACTAGGCCCGATGCCCCATCTATAAGGAGGCCCTCGTCAGCCCACCCCAGCTGGCCAAGATTCCACAGGATGCAGTGGGCGAAGGGGCTGGGGCTGGGGCTGGGAGCTGCTGCCCTCTTGGCACTGGGGATCATCCTGGGGCACTTTGCCATCCCCAAAAATACCCCCAGCATCTCAGCCACCCAGGACCTGGACCTGGAGATCCTGGAGACTGTCATGGGGCAGCTGGACGCCAGCAGGATCCGGGAGAACCTTAGGTGAGAGGCAGCTCTGCCCGCTCCTCCTGTGTGCCAGAGACCCCTCCCTGACGCCGGCCCTGCCCCTCCCACTGCCCACCCTGCAGAGAACTCTCCAGGGAGCCGCACCTGGCCTCCAGCCCCCGCGATGAGGCCCTGGTGCAGCTGCTGCTGCAGCGCTGGGCGGACACCACATCAGGCCTGGACTCCGCCGAGGCCTTCGAGTACGAGGTGCTGCTGTCCTTCCCCAGCCAGGAGCAGCCCAACAGCGTGGACGTTGGTGAGTCCTGCCCAGGCTTGGGAATGCCCAGGGCAGGGAGCTGGGGAGCTGCTGGGCCCAGCCCTGACATTGCCCCCGTCCACAGTGGCCTCCGCTGGGGGCGTCCTCTACTCTTGCCTCCGGAGCGAGGAGAACCTGACTGGCGAGCAGGGGGGACCCGACGTGGTGCCACCTTACGCTGCCTATGCACCCCCTGGAACTCCACAGGTGGGCCTGGAACCCGCCTACTGCCCTGGCCCAGCTCAGAGCCACCTGGTTCCCACCCAGGCTTCTCCCCACCCTAACCCAGGGGTGTCTGAGAGAAAGTGCATCTACTGGGGGACAGCACCGCCCCCAGGAGTTTACTCACCGCCACACTCCATCACTACTCCTTTCCTCCATCAGTCATTTAACAAACACTAGCGGCTCCTGCTCAAGGCCAGGCGTGTTACAGAGCACCCAGACACAGAGGAAATCAGGGGTGATTGTCCCTGGGGGAGCTTAGAAGTGAAGTGGGGAAACCGAATCAAAATCCTTCCTCCCGCCCCTCAACCTTGCTGCCCCTTTCCCCATTGGCCGTGCGCTGAGCCCAGCTCTAAGGATCACGTCCTCTTGGGCCTAGGGCCTCCTCGTCTACGCCAACCAGGGCAGCGAAGAAGACTTCAAGGAGCTGCAGACTCAGGGCATCAAACTGGAAGGCACCATCGCCCTGACTCGCTACGGGGGTGTAGGGCGTGGGGCCAAGGTGAGCAGCAGCAGCCCCCAGCGCACGGGTCCTGGGTGGGAGGGGCTGGGCAGTGACAGGAGGAAGTGAGGAGAAGGGACAGTGTTGAGTGGGGGCCAAGCCTGGGCTGGGGCAGGAGAGGCAAGCTGTATTCGGGCTGTACCACTGATGGGCTGTGTGGCCTTGGGTGCCTCCCCCAACCTCTCTGAGCCTTAGGTAATAAAGGGATTGGGCAAAATGTTTGGCTCTGGGATGCTGGGAGTCTGAGTCCTCCTGTAAAGTACTTCTTGAGACTATTCAAATTTAAAGCCCTCCTGTTGCCCCTCCCCATTTCTTTTCAATCCTAAACCTTGACTAGGTATTACATGCCGATGGTTTAAAAATGTAAGAAAAAAAATTTTTAAGCCAGGTGCCATGGCTTCACATCTGCAATCCCAGCCCTTTGGGAGGCCAAGGTAGAAGGATCACTTGAGGCCAGGAGTTCAAGACTGCAGTGAGCTATGATCACGCTCCTGCACTCTAGCCCTGGCAATAGAGCGAGACCCTGTCTCAAAAAAGAAAAAGGATTCTGAAGATGGGTAGCGGTGATAGTCGCACAACAATGCGAATGTCCACCACTGATCTGCATGTTTAAGATGGTAAATTTTATGTTATATGTATTTTACCACAATTTTTAAAAAAGTGCCCATGATAAGTGCTGGGAAAAGAGAGAGAGAGAGAGAGGGAGGGAGTGAGGGAGGGAAGGAAGGGAAAAGGAAAAGAATGGAAGGGAAAAAAGAAAGAGAAAAAAGAAAGGGGACAAGCAGAGTGGGAATACACAGATTAGAAAATTTCCAGTTTAATAAAAAAGAGTACAAAGTGAAGAAGTTCTCCTCTAATGCCATCCTCCAAAGAAGTAACCACTTCTTTTTTTAGTTTATGGATAATCTATCCAGAGTTTTCTTTTTTGTTTTAAGTCATAGATAAATTTATTGTGAATAAATTCATTTCCCTGGTCACTAAAGCTTATCCCTTTAAATGATACAACGTTTCTGACTTCAAATATTTTTGATGGAAAATTTTTTCTGAGCTATGTCATAGGTCAGGGGATACACAGAATAATCTAGGCTAGCAATATTGGGCTGGACAAACATTTTATCAGTCTTTTCAGAGTTTTCTTTTAGAAGAAGCATATAGAATACAAATACTGTATGTATCTTACCTCCTCTCCAAGCCATTTTACATAAAAATAGTGTCCTAGATCCAGGCTTCTGAATGTGCTTTTTTCACCTTTATATATTCTGAAGATCATTCTTTTTTTTTTTTTTTTTTTGAGACAGAGTCTCACTCTGTTGCCCTGACTAGAGTGAGTGCCGTGGCGTTAGCTTAGCTCACAGCAACCTCAAACTCCTGGGCTCAAGAGATCCTCCTGCCTCAGCCTTCCGAGTAGCTGGGACTACAGGCATGTGCCACCATGCCCAGCTAATTTTTTCTATATATTTTTAGTTGTCCAATTAATTTCTTTCTAATTTTAGTAGAGACGGGGTCTCACTCTTGCTCAGGCTGGTCTCGAACTCCTGAGCTCAAACAATCCACTCGCCTTGGCCTCCCAGAGAGCTAGGATTACAGGCGTGGGCCACCGCGCCTGGCCCTGAAGATCATTCTTAATCAGTACACAACCTGCATCTTTTTTTGGGGTGCAGTTTTGGTTTTACTGTAGTATATTCTATATGTGTATACATGTGTAATATAGTATATATATTATATAATACAAAATTTGCCATTTTAAGGATACAGTACAGTGGCATTAAGCACATTCACAGTGCTAAGCATCACCACTATCCATTTCCAGAACCTTTTCAGCATTTCAAACAGAGACTATTTGACAACACCTCCTCGTTCCCCCTCCCTTAGACCCTATTCTGTTTTCTTTAACCCCCATTCTACTTTCTGTCTCTATGAACTTGCCTGTTCTAGGTACCACACATAAGTGGATCATAAAATATTTGTCCTTTTATGTCTGGCTTATTTCACTTAGCATAAAGTCTTGAAGGTTTGTTGATGTTGTATCAGAACTTTATTCCCTTTTACATGCCACATTTTGTTTATCCATTCATCCATGATGGGCTCATGGGTTGTGTCTATCTGCCCTTTGGCTGTTACGGACGCTGCTGCGGAGAGCCTGAGTGCACAGGTCCATGCTTGTTCTGTGGCGCAGCAGTTCCATAGCAGGGTGTCCCCGTTTACTCAGCCAGACCCCGCTGGTAGGCATTGACTTGGCCATGCCCAACAGTGTGTTGCTGTTGCAAGCAGCACCGCCACAGATGCTTTATGCAAAGGTAGACCCATCCTGGCATCTGCAGCAGAGGAGGGAGGAAGGCCAACATGATGTGCCCCGTCCTCGTCCCTCCCCTACACACAGCCTCCTCTGCCTCCTGCAGGCTGTGAACGCCGCCAAGCACGGGGTGGCCGGGGTCCTGGTGTACACAGACCCTGGCGACATCAACGACGGACTGAGCCTACCCAACGAGACCTTTCCCAACTCCTGGCACCTGCCTCCCTCGGGCGTGGAGCGAGGGTCCTACTATGAGTATTTTGGGGACCCCCTGACTCCCTACCTTCCAGCCAACCCCTCTTCCTTCCGCCTGGACCTCGCCAATGTCTCCGGATTCCCCCCGATTCCCTCACAGCCCATTGGCTTCCAGGATGCAAAAGTCCTGCTCTGGTGAGTCTGTGCCCCGGGCGTCCTGCCCACCCGGCAGTGGCCTCCAAACTTCAACCCGACACCCGCATTTACTCTGAAGGGCCTCCCCCTCCTCCTCAGTAACCTCAACGGATCCTCGGCCCCGGCTGCCTGGCAGGGAGCACTGGGCTGTGACTACAGGTTGGGACCTGGCTTCCGCCCTGATGGTGACTTCCCAGCAGACAGGTGAGGCAGGACCACTCCTCGCTGGGTGCCCTCTGTCCCTAACTTCCCTCTCCTCCTCCCTTGTTATTCCTCTCCTACCCCGGGTTTTCCCTCTCCCTGCTTCAAGGCCTTCCCCTTTCTCCTCTCTCCCAACTCCTCCCCTGACCCCAAAGTATCTGTCTTGTCTTTGGGGAAGCTCAGGAAACACAAGGTCCTGTGGGTCCCCTGCCCCAGCCCCTCATCTCCACCTCTGCACTCCAGCTACTCCCTCCCTTCAAGATGCCAAGCTCCATCCCAAGTCAGGGCCTCTGCCTCTCCTGGCCTGCACCACCCCCTGGCCACCTGGTGTCCTTCCAGGCCCCTTCACCTCCTGCAGTTGTTCACCTCCTTGTGGGAGGCCCCACAGGCACGGGGGTCCATGGCTCTCCATGGCTGTCCATGGCTGTCCCGTCGCAGTCATTGCCCAGGGCCTAGTAATGGGCCGGGCATACAGAGAGCCCAGTGAGTACTCACTGGCTGAGTGAGTGAATGAAAAGAAATTGGAGCAGAAGAGCTGGGCTCCAGCCTTTTTGCCTGTCTTGGTACTTCTGAGCAAGTGACCTTGCCACGTCCTTTTCCTGCTCCGAGCCTCAGTTTCTTCTGCCTTGGGCAGAGGCAGTAGGCAGGGTGAAGACTCTTGTCACAGCCCTCGCCCTCCCCAGCCAGGTGAAAGTGAGTGTCTACAATCGCCTGCAGCTGAGGAACTCCTCCAACGTCCTGGGGATCATCCGCGGGGCTGTGGAGCCTGGTGAGCCCTGGTTCTCGCTCAGTGTGCCCCAGACCGTTCCTGCTCTGAGCGCCCCTGCCGCTCCCACTCCGCCCTCATCCAGCCCTGCCGCCCTGCCCACCTCTCCCTCTTTTCCGGTTCTCTGACTGTTCCTCTGGCCAGACCGCTATGTGCTGTATGGAAACCACCGGGACAGCTGGGTACACGGGGCTGTGGACCCCAGCAGCGGCACTGCCGTCCTCCTGGAGCTCTCTCGCATCCTGGGCACCCTGCTGAAGAAGGGTGAGTTGGCCTCCTCCCCTGGTCCAGGGACTCTCCACCCAAGAGGTCACCCCCAGCCCACTCCTCTTGTTCCACCTCCTCTCCCTCACTCTTCAATGCCCACTTGTGCCAAGCCTGAGGGCCCTGGGGGCAGAGATGCCTGGGACGCCAGCCTGGCCTGGAGTAGCCCCGTGTGGTACCGGGAATGGGCTGCTGATGATTCATGCGGCAGCTTCTGAGCGCCTCCCGTTGCCTGGATGGCGTAGGCCCCATGCTGCCGTGAGCAAGGCAGTGCCCAGGCTCTGCCCTCGGGGCACTTCAGCCGAGCTCGGGCAGGGACGACAGATGATGGTGAACCGCAAACATGTCTCTTGTGCCTATGACGTGCCAGGCCAGTTTGAGGCAGGTCTCTCTGTGGAGGTGGCACTTCAGTGCTTCTGGGAAGGGGAGGCAGGTCCAGGAGGAGGGCGAGGAGGTGGCAGCTGGAAAGGAGGCTGGCCAGGCTGGGCCTGGCAGCCCGGCTGGGCAGTTTGGACTTCAGCCCAAGGATGCTGGGGAGCTGGGGAATGATTTTAATCAGGAGAGTGATGTGATGGAGCCCAAATTCTAAAAAGCTTCCTGTGCTGCTGCAGGAAGGGCATGGAGGGAGGGGCCAGGTCTTCCCAGGGCTGGAGGCCGCTGGGGCTTGGACAAGGGTAGGGGTCAAGGGGTGAGACCTTCTGCTGGCCTGCGGTCTGCTGGCTACGGAGGGGAGGGAGGGGACAAGCAGAGGGCTCTGGTCTAAGCAACTCCACAGGTGGTGCCATTTACGAAAAACAGGACAAGGCAGATGTGGGACAAAACCCACCAAGGTCTCCGAAGGCGGCTGGTGACCGTGGTAAGAGCAGCGGTGTGCGCATAGAAATCGGAGGTGCAAGCCAGGCTGCAGGTGCTCCGAGAGGCAGTGTGGGGCAGTGGTTAAACAAGCCCCAGGGACTCTGGAGCCCGAGGCCTGGATGTGAACCTGGCTCTGCTGCTTGCTGGCTGTGTGATCCCGGGCAAGTCGTGTAACTTCCTTATAGCTCAGTTCCTTCAACTGCGACGTGGAAATGATAATGGCATGTCCCTCAAGGCATTGTTGTAAGGATTGGCTCACTATGGAGAAAGCCCTGGTTGTGAGCGAGGCTTGCATGGGATAGCTGGAGGCGAGAGTTCAGAGGACGGGGCTAGACGGTCTTCCCAGACAGGCCTATGGTGAGGGGGGCATTCTGGCAGAAGGGACCACCTGATCGAAGGAGCTGAGTGTTGGGGTCAGTGTTGGGGGGGATGTCACAGACAGCATGAGGCTGGAAAGAGGACAGAGCCTCCTGGAAGGCCTGGCTGAAGGGTACCAGGACATCCTGTCACCAGCTGCCCTGCCTTTTCCTCCCCTCCTCTCCATGTTCCTAACCTTTCCCCTAAGCCACCCTGGGATCTGGGGACCCTGCCCTCCAGCCCTCTATCCCCCTCCCCAGGCACCTGGCGTCCCCGCAGATCCATTGTGTTTGCAAGCTGGGGGGCAGAGGAGTTTGGGCTCATTGGCTCCACGGAATTCACAGAGGTGAGTGAGCCCCACAGGTAGTGTGGATCGAAAGGGATCCCCGGGGTGGGACAGCCCTGGGCTGACGTCGCCCTCGCACCCGCAGGAGTTCTTCAGCAAGCTGCAGGAGCGCACAGTGGCCTACCTCAACGTGGACATCTCTGTGTTTGGTATGGGGGGAAGGGGCTGGCCTGGCGAGGGTGGACGAAGGAAGGAGCAGGGGCCAGAATAGTCTTTCTCTCCTCCCCCCACAGCCAATGCTACCCTTAGGGTGCAGGGGACACCCCCTGTCCAGAGTGTCGTCTTCTCTGCAGCCAAAGAGGTGGAAGGGGGCAGGCGGGGCAGGGCCAAGGACTGGCAGGGGTGGAGCTATATGGGTGGGTGGGGCTGGGGGCTGATACCTTTTAGAGGGGCTGGGGTGGGGCAGAGGCTGGGGCAAGCCTTGTAAGACTGGCTGGACCTTGGGCGGGCTGCAGACTGGGGTCTGGGTGGAGACTCGCAGAGGACGTGCCTTGTTGGGTCTGGGGAGGGGCCGCCCCGAGACCAGATTACTCTCTGGGCCAGATCCCCTCACCAGGCCCGGGAGACCTCAGCATCTACGACAACTGGATCCGGTACTTCAACCGCAGCAGCCCGGTGTACGGTCTGGTCCCCAGGTGAGGCCAGGGGCACAAAGGGGGCCCAAGGCGTGGTGGGCCGGCCTGGCTCCCTCCAGCCTGGCCCCTTCCTTCCTGCAGGCTGGGCTCTCTGGGTGCGGGCAGCGACTACGCGCCTTTCATTCACTTCCTGGGCATCTCCTCCATGGACATCGCCTACACCTATGACCAAGTGAGCAGCACCCCTCCGTCCCTTACTCCACAGCCCCCTCCTCTCCTTCGGGCTGTTCTAGGGCAGGCTGAATCCGACTCCTTCCCTCAGTGGCTGTGCTACCTCCGCCAAGCTTGTTAACCTCTCTGAGCGTCTGTTTATGCTTATCTATGGTATTTTATCAAACGTAAGATACTACTGGTTGATTGTAAGATGCACCCCTATGTTATACCTATTCAGGAGGGAAAAAAACCCCACTGCCAATCAATCAGTTGAAGGATGACAATGACTATAAGAGGCATCATGATTCCAGAGATCTTAAAATGGAGGGGGGGTCATCTCAGCATTGATTAAACAATGGTATGAAACGGGGATGATCCACAGTGCGGGTGTGAGGGTGAAATGAGACGAGGGAAGCCGAGTGCCAGCCTGCATCTCCCTGCTCGACACCCCAAGAAGCCCTTTCTTATGGCCACACCGATTCTGGGTGGTAGAGCCAGGATTCGAATCCCCTTATCTGACTGCAGAGCTCCAGCTCTTCTCCTTCACGTGAAACTTGAAACTGGCAACCGGCCCGGCTCTGCCATTTATTAGCTGTGTGCTGGTGTGATGTCAGGCAGTTTAGCCTCTTTGAGCCTCAGTTTCCTCCTCTGTAAAGTGGGAATCCTAGAACCCACCTCATGGATGTGGTGAGGATTCAATGGAGATGACGCCAGGCCAGGCGCGGCAGCTCACACCTGTAATCGCAGCACTTTGGGAGGCTCAGGTGGGGAGTTCCAGACCGGCCTTGGCAACATAGCGAGACCGTCTCTATAAAAAATTAGCTGGGCACGGTGGTGCACACCTGTAGTCCCAGCAGGAGAATCCCTTGGGCCCAGGAGCTGAAGGTTACAGTGAGTTATGATTGCCCCACTGCACTCCAGCCTGGGCAACAGAGCGAGACCCTGTCTCAAATAAATAAATACAACAAATCAGTGGCGATAACACCCTCACACTGCAGCTCCCTGGAGGTACACCTTCTCCCACTCCCATCCCAAGCCTGTCACCTCTGGACCTTGTTCCTCCAGAGCAAGACCTCAGCCCGGATCTACCCCACCTACCACACAGCCTTCGACACCTTTGATTATGTGGACAAGTTTGTGGATCCTGGTGAGGAGGGGGGTAAAGGGACATCCTGGGACCTGAGGAGGATGGGCTGAAGACTGAGCCCTGACCTTGTCACCCTCCCTACAGGCTTCAGCAGCCACCAGGCCGTAGCGCGGACAGCTGGGAGCGTGCTTCTCCGGCTCAGTGACAGCTTCTTCCTGCCCCTTAACGTCAGTGACTATAGCGACACGCTCCGCAGCTTCCTGCAGGCTGCCCAGCAGGAACTTGGGGCCCTGCTTGAGCAGCACAGCATCAGCCTGGGTATGGACACCCCCTGACACTGAGGCATGGAGGTCTCTGTACCCCCAGGTCTAAGCCACTGGTTGTTTCTCACAGGGCCTCTGGTGGCCGCAGTGGAGAAGTTTGAGGCAGCAGCCGCAGCCTTGGGCCAATACATATCAACACTGCAGCAGGGCAGCCCTGAGTGAGCAAGGGCAGCGGGCAGATGTGTGGGAGGGTGGCATCCAGGGCAGGATGCCAGGTTGGCAGCTAGGCTGCTGGCTCCAGTGTGACAGGCAGCTCCTGCATCCACCAGCCCCCTGCAGGTCCGGATGCTCAATGACCAACTGATGCTCTTGGAACGTACCTTCCTGAACCCAAGAGCCTTCCCAGAGGAACGCTACTACAGGTGAGCCTGTCCCAAAGGTCCTGGGAGGGAGGGACCTCAAGGTGGGGCTGGGCCATAGCCACCCATCTGGGGAGGAGGATGTCAGTTTCTCTGTCCTTCAGAGCACAACCCAGCCCCTGGAGACAGTTGGGGAATGTGATGCTCAGGGAGGGGAGGCAAACTGGTTGAGGGTGACCCTGGAGCTGGGACTAGACCCTACATCTCCCACCACCAGTGCTGTAAGAGACAGGTGTGGGGGGTCCCTTTGTGCCTAGCTGCACACAGGAGCTGGGCAAGTTCCAGCTGGAGGCTCCTCTTTCCCGGCCCCTGACTGCCCCATTTCTCCTGTCAGCCACGTGCTCTGGGCACCCCGCACAGGCTCCACAGCCACATTCCCAGGCCTGGCCAATGCCTGTTCCAAGGCCAGGGACACGAGCCCTGGATCTGAAGCTTGGGCTGAGGTGCAGAGGCAGCTCAGCATCGTGGTGGTGGCCCTGGAGGGTGCAGCAGCCACCCTGAGGCCTGTGGCTGACCTCTAACCCCGGCCATCTTTCCTCAGCTCTCCCTTTACCCTAACCCTCTCCCACCCGTTATCTTGGGGTATGTCCCAGTCTTCCCCGATGCCAGGAGAGGGCGCAACCATGGGACCTTCTCAAGCTTCTCAGGCAACAGCTTGGGGCTCCACCAGTTGCAGACACCCAAGGGGAGTGGCAACCCCCCATGAAAATCTCCCTCATCCTGGTGCTTAGTTGGCACAGGGTGGACAGCAGGAGACAGGGATGGCAAAACCACCAACTGCTCTTGGTGGTGAGTGTATGAGGATGGCATGTATGATGCCAACCTTAGACGCCAAATCAGAGATCACCACGGCCACCTCTTAAGGGACCAGTGGGTAAACTGAGGCCCTAGGTGGATGGGGCCTTGCCCAGTCTATGTTCCTCTCCTCCCATGCTCTTAGCATTTCTCAACTCCCTCCTGTATTCCCCCAGAGAAATAAAGTCTAGAGACTGGTCCCTACAAAATAAGTTTCTTTTATTGTCTGGCAATCACGGAAAAAGAAACCTAAGTGCTCTGACCCAGGCCTGGGGCTATGGGAGATTGCACACTCCCTCCTCAGACTGGGGACCTGGGCCTGTCCACACCCTCATCTTCCTCCTCTGCCATGACTACCTCCTCCAGGGTGCGCCCTCGAAGTTTGCTCCCCACTAACACGTTGCAGCTACTGGCAGGGGGTGGCCCTTCCTCAGTATAGCGACCCCTCAGGAACACAACTCTTTCCTCTCCGTCCAAGGGCAGTCCATGGGCCTGGCACAGGTCCCGTGCCTCATTGGGTCCATCCAGAGCCAGCAGGTAAACTATGAAGCTCAAAGGCAAGGTCTGCCCCTTGGAGGTACTTAGGGCACGATCAAGGCGGGCCAGGGCTCCACGGCGGGCACGGCCCACGTGGCACTGCACGGCGCAGCTTGGCAGGTAGGGCAGCGTCCGGAGCAAGCGGAAAAGCCGGGCGGTGTTGCCCTCGCGGAAGGCAGCGACGACCGCCAGGGCAGTGCGCAAGGGCGGGCAGGCGCGCAGGGTGGCAGGTAGCTGCAGAACCTCGTGCAGGGCCTCCAATGAGCCTGTGAGGGCAGAAAGCCGGGATGTAGATGCCTCGTCCTCCCTGGATCAGGCCCACCTCCCATCCCATCCTCTTAGGCCATGCCCATCTCCCCTCCCACCCTGCTCTGGCCTCAGCCACGCCCACCTCCACTGGCCCAGCGCCAAGCTTGTCTCCAGACCTGGGTCCCACCCACCTCCTGCAGTGGTCATACCCACCCCTCCTCAACCCTTCTCTAGACCTAGCCCACCTTCCCTCCCTCTCCCCTCTCAGAAGTAAGGTCCAGCCATTGGCCCCTTCCCTGAACCATCTGACTGAGTTGTCACAGGTTCTCAACTTCCTTCAGTCTGGATCCCTGTAACACTGAAGAAGTGGGTAGTGTTTATAGACGGGGAAAGTGGCCCAAATAATTTAATGACTTCCCTGAGATTATCCCACAGTTCTTATGTAGTACACCCTGACCCAAATCCAAGTTTTCCGACTTGGATTTCCTACTACCCTGGCTGCCGTGCACCCAGAGCTTTGGAAGCCAGCTCTGCCACACCTTCCCCTGACTGCCTGCGAAGGCCATTTCTTTGAGGTGGCTCTCCCTGCTTCCCTTCCAGGACAATCACAGACACTGGAACCTTGGGCCCCTTTTGTAAACTGGGGCTTCTCTCCCATTAGCTGGTTGTTAAGTAAACAGCATTTTATTACAATTAGATATAATACAGTTCTTTTGTGGGTTTTTTTAGAGGTAGGGTCTTGCTCCGTCACCTAGGCTGGAGTGCAGTGGCACAGTCATAGCTCATGGCAGCCTCAAACTCCTGGGCTCAAGTGATCCTCCTGCTCCAGCCTCTGGATGAGCTGGGACTACAGCTGTATACCACGACGCCCGGCTAATTTTTTATAGAGATAGGGTTTCACTATGTTTCTCAGGCTGGTCTCGAACTCCTGGCCTCTCGTCTCCCAAAGTGCTGGGATTACAGGTGTGAGACACTGTGCCCGGCCACAATAGAGTTAATTAGAATGCATCACCCATAGAAAGTATCTAAAATCTTGAACCTGCTGTCTCAGATACATTCGTGGGCATAAGTTTCTTAGTTGCTTTGCAACACTGACTGGGAGTGTAGTTTAAAGAAAAGTTTGAAAATCAATATCTAGGCCAGCTCTCCCATTCCAATCCGACCTCCTTCACATTTTTATTGAGAAAACTGAGACCCAACGATGGGCCCAAGCTCCCACGTCGAGGCTAGGTGGACCTTGTGCAATAACTATCCTGGGAATGAGCTAATGGTAAAACGTTAAACCTGCCTCCTCCTCCTACCTCCACTTTCCCCATGGAGGGCTCCCCGGCCCCACGCTCTGCCCCGCCGCCTGGACCCGGACTCACCGAGGTTATAGAGCAGAAAAAGACCCTGGAAGGCGGCCTGGCGGGGGTGCGGCGCCATGCCCCGCGCGTAACAGCGCCGCAGGGAGCCGAAGCCCTCCTGCACCTGAGTCTGCAGTAGCACCAGGTCCGAGGGCCCGTACGCCGCGTCCGGCCCAAGCCGCGCCACCACAGCCAGCAGCGTGGCCAGCGCCGCCTCCAGCACCGCCGCTGCCTCGGCGTCGCCCACGCCCTGCAGGGCCAGGTCCAGTCGCACGGCGCGCAAGCGGTCCGCCACGAAGCTGGCCACCTCGGCGCGGGATGCGTCGGCACTCTCAGCCACCTCACTGGCCAGGTAGCGCACGGTGGCCAGCAGCACGGAGGGCGGACGCAGCTCGCTCGGTGGTGGCCGGGGCTTGCCGGCGGCCGGCCGGCAGTACTCCTTCACTGTGCGCTGCGGGTCGGCGCGGGGCCAGTCCGCGCGGCAATCCGGTGCCACCTCAAAGCGGTGCAGGCGGCGCTCCCTTTCCCGCCGGGCGCGCTCGGCGGCTGGACACATGTCCGGGCACGTGCCCATGGGCAGCTGGCAACTGGGCATGGTGGGCTGCGGGGAGAGGGTGGGCGCTCAGCATCCCGGGGACCGCAGCACCCACTCGCCCTGTTCTACGGGAAGGTACGCCACGCCGAGGCCGGCTGAGACTCGCAGACGCGGGCTAAGGCCAAACCTAGCAGGGCCCGCACGCCCGCCTCCCTGCCCGGGTCTCCAGCGTCCTTGCAGCCCGCGATGCCACCGCCGGCCTCTCACGGGTCGCGACGACTCCGCCTCCCAAGATGCACTGCGCCGTAGTCCAGCGACGCCCCCGCCGTTCCGCGCGCTCAGGCCCCGTTACCGCTCGCCCATCACGCACGGCGCCTAACATTGAGACGGGGGCCTTGCTATTTTGCCCAGGCTGGTCCCGAACTCCTGGACTCCGCAGTCCTTCCCGCCTCAGCCTCCCCGGTAGCTGGGACTACTGACCCGACGCCACCGCGCACCGCCCCTCACAGGGTTTTGTAGCCCGAGCCGCTCCCATGATGCACCAGTTTGTAGTCCCTTCCGCCACTAATCGCCCTGTCGGAAGGGCGGGGCAGAGACGGGCGGGGTGGCGGCGGGCCACACCCCCCAGCCCTGCCTGGCTCCAGCTCCCTGCACCATCCTGGACTTTGGGACCTTCAAAACAGGTACCCCCACCCCCACCTCCGCTTTCGGTTTCTCTCCTTCATCCCTTTTACCCAACAAACTGGCTCCATAGGCCTGTCACTCTCCAGTTTCCCTGAAGACTATCCTCCCATTTTCTAGATCAGGGGTCAGCAAACTTTTCTGCCAGGTAATGAACGTGGGATTTGTGGGCAGCCGACTACCTCTGCAGCTACACAGCCCTGCCAGTGCAGTGTCAAAGCAGACAGACAATCCTGAACGAAAGAGCCTGTTTGTGTTCCAACAAAATTTTATTTACTAACACTTAAGTTTCATATAATTTTCATCTGTCACAGAAGATTATTCTTTTGGTTTTTTTCAACCATTAAAAAATGTAAAAACCATTCTAGCTCACAGGCCTTACGAAAAAAAATCATGGGCCAGATTTGGCTGCGGGATGTAGTTTGCAGACCCCGGGTCTGGATGGTAAACTGATGGTTTGGTGACCAGAGCCGCTGCTCACACATCAAGAAAAGACAGGCAGGATCAGAAGTGTGAGTCCCTGATGCCAAGGCGCAGGTGTAGTCAGGGAGCTGAGAGTTCATTGTGTTTCTCATTCTTGGTCCAGTTACGTACAGAAATGGCCCCTGGGGTTTCGAGACCAAGGGGTAGGGCCAGGCCCTGGGGAAAGAAGGGGGTGTCTGGCAGTGCTGGAGCTAGAGTCCTGGGGAAGAGTCTGCTCCCTCTCAGGGCGGGAGTTGGGACAGGTGCAGGCGCAGGATCTCCTCTGCCCGCTTCAGGTACTCGGCCGCCTTCCTCTTCACACCTTCCCGGCGGGCAGGGGATGGGTCATCTGTGTAGAGAGACTGGCTCAGCTGAGGTGCCTGTGCCCAGCTACCTTCAGAAGACTTGGTCTAGTCCCTTCCGGTTTACAGAGCATTATCACGTGCCTTTCCCTCTTCCCTGGGACCAGTGTCTATTCTCCTCATTTTACAAATAAAGAAACTGAAGCCACAAGAGGTTAAAAAACAAAACAAAACCCTGCCCAAGTTTACACAGCTGGTCACTGTCCCATCTAGGACACAGGCCTGACCCTCCACCCTCCAGTCCATACTCACTGGGCACTCCCTGAAGCAGGATGTGCACGCCATCTCGGTAGCCCTGCAGCGCGGCAGGGTAGGCACCCGCCTTCTCGTCCCGCAGGGCCTGGGTGATGAGCTCCGTGGCCTGGCTCACATAGGCAGGGGTGGGCCCTCCTTCCTCATCCTCTTCCTCCTCCTGCCCTCCTGGCTCCCAGGGTTCCTGGTCCAGTCTTTCCGACTCTACCTCCATTGGCACCAGCTCACCTACGTGGGTGGGGCTGGGGCCTGCGCCTTCTGCCATCAGATAGGGAGGACTCAGGCCAGACTGGCCCTTCCTTTCCCAGGACCCGCTGCCCACCCCCAGATCTCTCTTGCCCATTAGAGTATCAACCTTTCCCCAGGTAGAGGGAAGCATGCCTGGGTAATCCAGAAGTTGCCTGTGTATAGCAAACTAGCCAAGATCTATTTGGTAAGTGGGGTTCATGTGCTTTTGTAAAAACAGCCTTACCTTCCTACTTCTTTCTTTAGGTTTGTGAGCTCTGGATCACTGGTCCTATTTCTCTCCTGACTCCAGTTAACCTAGAAATCCAAGGATTCCCGCTACGAAGTTTAACTGAAAGATGCTAGACCAACTGCATCAGGCCAAGGGTAGAAATACTCCAAGCCTTGGAATAATCTTAGAATAATGGATTCAGAGAATCTCAGGGCTTTTCTGAGGTCTTGCAATTCCAGCTGAGGCCCTCAAATGTGAAGACAGTGGGATGCGGGTATCCTCACATTCCAGAGTGACGGGCTCATCATACCTCCCTGTCCTGGCGAGAAGGTGATCAGACATCCTCCCTGCAGCTTACATGCGAGGCACCTAGAAATCTCTTAAATCTATGGAACAAAGGCCTTTGAAGGGAAGGTGCAGGGACAGGAATAGGGAGCACCATGACTCCCCACCATCCTGGGGTGAGGGGATGGGCATCTCTCCAGCTCCATCCAAGTGGAATTCCACAAGAGCCCTGAGAAGACCGGGGCCTGAGGAAGGACAACTCCTGGCTGGGCCTGCAGCCCTCCCTCTGTTGCCCATGGAGCAGGGAGAAGACTGCCTGGGACTCCTGAACACTTGCTTTCAGGGGTCTGGTTGAGGAAGAGAGACTGGAGAATTCCAGTGGTGAGAGGGTCGCCGGAGCTGCCCATGATGGCAGGGCAGGGACGTGAGGCAGGGTCTGAGCAAATTGTACTTCCAGCCTGTCGGGGGCAAGGCTTTGGGAGTTTCCTGGTGGGCCAAGTGAACGTCTCATGGGGGCAGCCTGTGAGGGGTCTTGAAAAGCTCCTGCCCACAGGGCACCCCGAGGGCTCAGCTGGGGCAAGGGCAGAGTGCCCCTCAGAGGCCGGGCACAGCAGCCAGTGACCCCGCCTCTGCCGTTCCCTGCAATGGAGGAAGCAGAACGAGAAAAGCGAAAGGCCACTCCTCACATCCTTGTCACCGTGGCAGGGGGCCAGGTCACTGGTCAGGCCTGAGCCAGGTGGAGGGGTGAGGCTGAAGACTGGATGGGACATTGATGTCCTGACTTGGACTGGACTGGACTGCTTCATACCTAAGGGCGAGAGCTGCAGCGCCCGAAACTGATCAGAAAACCAAAGGTCTGCCAAAGGGCGAAGAAGGGAAGCCAGCGAAGCAGGCTTGAAAACCCCGCTGAGGAATCCAAACAGAAACTGACTCGTGATTACCCTCAAGTGCGATCAGCCACGCAATACCTGGGTTGCAGTGACAGCTTCGATTTGGAGCATTTTAGAATGAACAACTCCAGTGTCTCAGAGCTTGGGACTGTCAGGGCCTGGGATCTCAGGGCAGGCAGGTGCTAAGGACCTGGCCTCCACGGGGCAGCCCTTCTGTCCCGGGCATCCCCACGTGCCAGCAGCAGCTCCAGCCCCCAGAGGGGCTTCCCGCTCTCCGCTCCCTGAGCCCAGACCTCACCCGCGCTGACCAACAGGCCTCTCCTGACTCCAGGGTCTGCAGCCGGACCTCGAGCCAGCCAGGAAATCTCACCTCAGGCTTCCAACAGAAGGAACTAAAACCTCCCATAGCAGTGTGACCCTGCTCCTTCCAAAGTGTCCTCAGAGGGAAGACCCATCTCGGGAAATGGCTCATTCCCTTCCAACACAGTGGCACAGGGGTATCCTGCACACCGAGCCACGAGCCCTGGCACAGGACTGTGGCACCTGGGGAAGTGGCACCTGCCTCTAACTCTCCCTGAGACTGCCGTCTACCCGCGGGGCAGCACTGCTGAAATCTCAGATTTCCACAGGCACCTGCAGGCTAGCGGCAGCTCTGCCTTCCTCCCCGTCCCTGAGGGCCTCCCGCCCCAGCAGCCCGACTCCGGCTGTCCCAGCTCGTTACCTTCCTTGGAGAAGGGGTCGAAGAGGGCAAGCTCGGCCTCGGTGAGGGGGCCTCGGGCAGGGGAACTGGACGCTTCCTCGGTGCTCCCACAGTTAAAGAGGAGATCCAGGGCCTCCTGCGCAGGGCTGGACGGTGGGGGGTCCGCTGAGGAATAGAATTACTCTCTCACCAAATCCTTGCAGCAACCATGGGCAGAGGCAAGCCCTATTAGTCACGTGCATTTTCTAGATTAAGAAACTGTAGCCCAGAGACGGAAGATGACCTGTCCACAGTTCCTCAGCCGGGAAGTGGTAGAGCTGGGACACACCCCAGGCTTTCCACTAAGGTCACTGAGGAGGGAGTGTGGACCTCCCAGCCCATGACTGACTCCCCACTCTGCACCCTCCAGCCCTGGCCCCGCCCCTCCGATGTACCTGGCACCTCCAGCTCCTCAAGGCCCTTCCTTTCTGCAGGGAGTGGCTGGGGTAGTCGGGGCTCATCAGGAGGTGGGGTGGGAATCAGAGGGGGTGGCAGGATGTCCAGGTCCCTGGATATCTCCAAGGGCTGTGTCACCTCTCCCCCCTGCAGGAGAGAAAGATCAGAGGTGGGGAGTCGTGGGGTGCAGCCTGGTGGGCAGGTAAGCTTCTCACGTGCTGGGGGAAGAGCAGGTACACATACCCGGAAGAACTCCTTGAGCTGGGGGCTGTTGTTGAGCGCAGGTATGTGCACAGTGAAGCGCAGCAAGTCCTCTGCCCCCTTCCGCCGCTCCTCGATCACTGAGGCTTCGAACCGGCCTGCAGTCCCGCAGGACAAGGGGGTGAGGAGAGCAGGCAGTGACCCACAGGAGCTTCTGGCCCCAAAGCCCACTTTTCCTGGTTCTGCCTGATAATCTGAGAGGATCTGAGAAACCCACTGCCCTCCTCCCCCTTCTTCCAGCAATCTTCCCTGGCTCCTCCTGGGGCGGGGGCTTGCAGGAGGGATCTGTCTCCCCATTCATTCATTCACCAGGTGTTTACTGAGCACCTACTATATGCTAGGCTCAGAAGGTGGATAGGAGAGAAACAAGGTCTCTGCCCTCATGGATATCACATCCTAGACAGGAGAAAGCAGGGAGTTAAAAAGAAATAAAATAATCTCAGATGGCTTTGATGTAATGAGGAGAAAAGTAAGGCTCAGAGAAGGAAAGTGATTTGCCCAAGGTCACAGGGCAAGTAGCCCTTTTTTTTATAGTTTCACTGCTCTGTTCTAGCTATTATGCAGAGTGATCTAACTCTGGCCTAACCTACCAGCAGTGACCCTTCACCTTGCTGCCAAAGAACATCTCATGGGAATCTGGAGACCCAAGTAACTGATCAGCACTGTCCAACAGAAATAGAATATGAGCTACATGGGCAATTTAAAAATTTTTAGTAGATACATTTGAAAAAGGGAAAAAGAAACAAGTTTATTTTACTATTATTATCATTATTTTGAGACAGAGTCTCACTCTATTGCCCCAGGTAGAGTGCAGTGGCATCATCACAGCTCACTGCAACCTTGAACTCCTGGGCTCAAATGATTCTCCTCTCTCAGCCTCCCAAGCAGCTGGGACTACAGGTGCACGCCACCACACCTGGCTAATTTTTTCTATTTTTGGTAGAGACGGAGTCTGACTCTGTTCCCTAGGCAGTAGTCTCAAACTACTGGTCTTAAGTGATCCTCCCACCTCAGCCTCCGAAAGTACTGGGATTATAGGCATGAGCCACTGTGCACATGGCCTGATTTTAGTAATGTATTTTATTTAACCCAGTATATCCAAAGTCTTATTTCAACATTCAACATGTAATCAATATAAAAATTATTGAGATAGCTTACATTCTTTCTTCAGTGTGTACTAGATATGTACAGTACATCCCAGTTCAGACCAGTCACAGCCGAAGTGCCCCTCGGCCGCACGTGACTCGTGACTACTGTTTTGGGCAGCGCAGGTCTATAGGAAATACCAGCTGGGGAAGGAATCCTGGTTCTGTCACTTACAGGCCAAGGCCCTTCACCTCCCTGAGCCTCAGGTCCCTTATCTTGAAAATGGGGCTAATAAAGACAGAGATGTTAAAGGGCTCAACACACGGTAAGGGCCAGGCTGCTCTGAGCCTCAATTTCCCCATCTGTCAAATGAGGTTATCTCTAAGGGCCCTTCCAGCTTTCTAAATGTCTTTGCCGGGAGTTTCGGGCCCCTTCTGTCCAGCCCTCACCGGCAGAGCTTCCCTTTGCCCAACTCTCCCACTGTCTTTGGTCCAGGTGCCCACTCACCGAACACCTGCGCCCGGGGGAAAGCAGGGAACTCCTCGAGGCGGCGGAAGAGGTTGCGGTGGGTGTAGGCCAGGTCTCCGTGCAGCTTGCGGAAGTCGCTGTACCGCTTCCAGATCACCACCTATGAGGGACATGAGACTTAACCTGGACCAGCAATGGTGGGAAGTGGCCTTTCCCACGCCCAGACTGGCCCCAGGGTGTGTGAGGACTAGGGTGCGGCACCCCCTCCACCCAGGGCCAGAGGGATGGAGGGCCGGTCTCCTCAGAGTTACCAGCTGCTCCTTTACAAGTTCCAGAAATGGAATCACACAATAGTCCCTCTTCCTCCGGGAGCCTTACCTCTTTGACATCCTCTGGGTCCTTCTTTGAGATGAACTGAGAACGAAAGGCAAGAACCAGTTAAGAACCAGAGACTAGGCCGGGTGCAGTGGCTCATGCCAGGGACTGACATTTGACACCCATCATTCACCCTGTAATGCCCACAGGTACCTTCTAGTCCCCCTCAAAGAGGCCGTACCCTTTGGCCACTGGCATCAAGGTGTCCTGGCTTTAAGGTTTTGAGAGTAACTTCAAGCAATTTTTTTTTTCCCAGACAGGGTCTTGCTCTGTTGTCCATGCTGGAGCGCAGTGGTATGATCACAGCTCACTGCAGCCTTCAACTCCTGGGCTCAAGCGATCCTCCTGCTTCAGCCTCCCAAAGTGCTGGGATTACAGATGTGAGCCACTGCACCTGGCCAGTTTTTCCACTGTGAACCTCACTTCCTTCATCTGTCAAATAGGAGGACCCCTAGAGGCCCATCCAGACTGCTCCAACCTCAGCCCAACTTTGATCCCAGTTCCTTCAAAGGGCCAAATCCCTGCATTTCGTTCTAAAACCAAAGAACCCAACTCTCCGGCAAGGTGAGGCTCTGTCTCAGGAGCCAGTCCGTCCTTAAAGGAGGAAGCCCCGTGCTTGCCCCGGACATTCAAGAAACCCTCACTGGGGCTGGCAGCCCCTGGAAGGGCAGACTGGGGTCTGAGGTAGAAAGAAAACTCAGTTTTCATCATGTTCTGTTTATAATAATTTTAAAATAATACCCTACGGTTTAGAGCACTTGACAGTTTTTTTTTGTTTGTTTGTTTTGTTTTTTTTCGCCCCAGACACAGGAATGAAGAAGCCACATTGGACATCCAGCCTGATCAAGCTTCAAATGAGAACCACCCAACTAAGCCCAGTCAACCTACAGAGACAGGGGAGGTAATACATTTTTTTTTTTTTTTTAAGACTAGTCAAGTGCAGTAGTGAGGAGGGGGGTTAAGTAGTAGAACAAGGAGTTCAATCTGTAACTGACTGTGAACAATCAAGTGAGATAACTCACTACCTTCGGACCAGCCTATTTTTAAGTTTTGTTTTGTTTTGTTTTTTCTCATCCTAGAATCCAAAGGCATTAATTTTTTTCTTTTTTGTAGAGACAGGGTCTTGCCATGTTGCCCAAGCCGGTCTCAAACTCCTGGCTTCAGGGGATCCTCCTGCCTCTGCCACTCAAAGTGCTGGGATTACAGGTGTCAGCCATGGCACCCAGCCAATAAATTACTGCTTTACATCATGAAATTTTAGGATGATTTTTTACAGAGTAATATATAAGAGGACCTTAGAATAGATGATAACTTCCTTAATGTAATAATATAAAGCTGCCAAGAACTATGACAAATACCTTAAGAATGATAAATTTGTAGAATTAGGCTAGGCACAAATGTTTATACAACTCTACAACTCAAAGTTCTTTTAGAAACCATCCAAATGTCCAACAACAGTAGAATGAATAAAGAAATGGTGGTATATTCATACAACGGACAACTACACATCAATAAAAAAGAACAAGCTGGGCGCGGTGGCTCACGCCTGTAATCCCAGCACTCTGGGAGGCCGAGGCAGGAGGATCGCTTGAGCTCAGGAGTTCGAAACCAGCTTGAGCAAGAGCAAGACCCTGTCTCTACTGAAAATAGAAAAAATTAACGGGTGTGGTGGCACGTGCCTGTTGTCCCAGCTACTCAGGAGGCTGAGGCAGGAGGATTGCTTGAGCCTGGGAGTTTGAGGTTGCTGTGAGCTATGATGAGGCCACTGCACTATTGCCCAGGCGACAGGGTGAGATTCTGTCTCAAAAGAAAATAAAAATATTAAAAAAATGAAATAAAAAGGAACAAACTACTTATATATGCAATAGCATGGATGGATTCCAAAAATATTATATTGAGTAAAAAAAGCTGAACACAAAAGATTACTTGCTGTATGACTCCATTCATGAGGTTCAAGACAGACAAAACTAATCTATGGTGAAAGAGAACAGTGGTTACCTC